AGCAGCTCACATCCAGCTCCACCGCATGTCCTGGCAAAACCTGAGCATTTTCTTAGGGTGGAGGGCTCAGGGTGAAATCCTTATGGGCTCCCGCACCTCGAATATCAATCCGTCTTGCGATTCACCTTTTGCAAATTCGAACCTCGAAAATCCATCGAAACGGCATTTCAGATTTCACCATTTGCCCTCCACCCAGAGAAAATGCTCGCAAGACTGCTGCAGGCGCCCAGAGGTGGCGCCCCGGCTGGCCGCCGCCGCGCGCGGCGCCAGGCCTCGCGATAAATTTGCCCAGACGAGCCAGGGGCAACCGCGAGGCGTGCCGCCCGCGGGCACGTCGCCCTCGTCAAGATGACACCCCAAAGCCTCCAGAGTCTGCAGTGCATTATCTGGGGAGCGCCGCGGCCCCTCCGCGCGCCTCGCCTGCTTCGCTCGTCGTCTGGGACCCCTTGACCTAAGGAACCCCAGATAAGGAACGAGGCCCCTTTCTTCCATAAGTTAAGCTTCGATGTCCTATCGAAAACCTAAGGAACGCGGAGCCCCTCCCCAACGAATTGGGTTCCTTCTTCAGGGCCCCGACTGTACTGCCGTTGGATACCTGCGTCGCCCAGATGCGCGCGCGTTGCTGGCCTCGGGGCCCCTGTGGGCGCCTTCCGCGGGGCCTGCCACCTCGCCCCGAGGCCTGCCTGGCAGCCCTGGGGATCCCAGGCGGTCGGGCGACATGTCCCGGACGCCTGCCCCGTGCGCGAAGCCCGTGCATTCTCCTGCTCGCGAGCCCGCTGCCTCAAAATCGAGGTGCCAACTTCGGGAGCGGCCAAGATGGGGGTGTCCAAGAGGGGGGGGCGCAAATCATGACCGTCGGCACGTGCGCGGCCCAGCGGGGGGGCCAGGGACGTAATGAACTAAGAAGAGGCGCCATGAAATCTGGGGAAATATCATGGCCCCCGCCAAGATATCCACCCCCCCCCTAGTCATCACCCCCCTCTTTTCCGCCCCCGACAACTGCAAGCTGTGGAGCCGTGCCCAGTGCCGGGGCGCACAGAGAGCGCGACTGCGCGCCCTTCATACAAGACATGGCCTGTCATGAAGTCGCCCAGGAAAATCACGCCGACACCAGATTCGACGACGAGTCCGCCGACGCGCCGGCACCAGCCCTGCACTTCCCTCCGTCAGGCGGCAGCACGCCACGCAAGAACCGCTCCACCCACGCCGGATCGACCGCCCCTCCGACAGCATGCGGAGACTGCCGCGCAGGTGATGCTCTTGCGCAGTCACGATACTGAACTGGTGCTGACTGCTCAAAAAGTCCTTGAGGCCACTCCGAGCCGTTGAAACTAACGACCCTATGCCCCTCATCATCAGTGGCCCAACTCTTACGCGACTTGCTGCGAGGATCGGCAACTGCAGCGGTGAGCTTCAGGGGGCCCTTGCCTCCATTCTGCTATCCCCCTAGCCCCAAAATTAAAAGCATCGTCGGCCGTGGCCAACCAGTGCACCCGCAACGACTTCGCAACGCAAGACACGTGGCCAATGCTGGCGCTGTTGGGTGTCGCGACGGACGCGGCTTGCATCGGCGGCAAATCGCCGCCACCAAAAAATCGAGGCACTGGAACTCCACAGCATGCGTTGATATTGAAGAGGCCCTGGGACACACAAATAAATACACACAAATAAAAGGATTCCCCATATTTTCCCATATTATTTTCTAGGTTTTTGTCTTCCCCCCCACTTCCCATAGTTTCCCATATTTTTTTGGGGGGCAAATCGACGATTAATTGTGTCTGTGTTTTTTTTTCCCTACTGAGATATGGCGCCTCCCGCGCGGACCACAGCGCCGTCACTGTGCATGTCGCCATCACCTGGGCTACAGTCAGGAACTGTCGCCGGCTGCAGCGGGAGGGCTGGCGGAAGCATGCCCTCGCACGCGTTGAACCATCGCCACCGAGAGCTATCCCAGATGCTTCGATAGAGACCCGAACAAGGCAGATTCATTGCCTGCCTGCGTCGTGTTGGGGGTGGCCGCCGCGATCTGCTGCAGCCTACCAATGGCGGCATCGATTGCCACCACGAGTGATGCACCTTCCGGTTCTGCCGGCGTCGCCAACGCTGCTAACCTGGCCAATGCGATTTCACATCGCGGTGACTCCAGCTTTGCCTTCGCCGAGTCGAGCTCCGCGGTCATCGCCTCCAAGTCCGCGCGTAGTTTGTCCTCATCCTGCTGCTGATTGGCGACCTCCTTTGCTTTAGTGCTGGCTCGGTCCAAGGAGCGCCGTAACAAACCATCTAACAACGTCTGCCTGCGCTCTGCCAAGTCGGCATCTGCAGGCTGCATGGGCACTGCCAGAACGACGTGTCTTTCCTCATCAAGTCGGAGACGGCGCAAGGCTTTTTGGGTTCTACTTGCCTTGGTAACCTCATTACCTCCTTCCTCCTCCCTCTGAAATTCGTCACGATCACTGCGGGGAGATTTAGAAATAAGCGTGGGCGCTGTCGGTGCTGCTTTGACGGGAAGCCTTGCGGATCGGACTGACCACTCCTGTCTCTGCCGCACATGTAGCACCGCCAATATTTCACAACAGTACGAGTGAGACCGCATTGACGACTGGCGACGCACGACCACCTGGGTTCCCTGGCGCTGCCCGTCCCGTCATGTTGCTGATGATGCTGTTGCCTGCCACGACCCTTTGCACCTATTGGTACCCTCGAGCCGTGATGCGATGAAGATGAAAGCATCCCCACTGCTGGATCGGTTGTGAGAAGCCTGCTTGCCAAGCTGCGCCTGGTCGGCAAGCGCCTGCGCCAGGCTGGAGACCTCGACCGAGCTGGGGCCATGTCCCGCACCTCCTAGTACAAGGGAGAGGTCAGCCTCTGTGGCAAGAGGACAAGGCAAATTAATTGGCCGACCCGACCTCATTTCTGTACATTGGGCGGTGTCCTGGGCCTCCTCGGCCGGCATGATCAGGCCACCGGCAGGGGCCGCGGGTGCGAACGCGACAGCGAAGGGCGGATGAGGAGGCGAAGGAGACGGGAAGGGTGGGAGGTGGGAGATCGTCGAGGGCAAGAACAGCAGGCGGGTGGGGTGGGGGGGAGCACGAACGGCAGGAGGGTCGAAGCAACGAGGCACCCTGGATGCCTGCTGGTCCCGTGCGTCCGCACGGACGGTTGGGCAACGCACTCGGTGCGGCCGGTCAGGGGCGCGTGAGAGAACTCACCGAAACCTCGAGGCACCACTGGCGACACCCCAGACAAACCAGGGAGGGAGGGGAGCTGGCGACGCCAGCCAAGAGCCCCCTGCCCGCAGGCAAAACGTCATCCTGCCAGGCGCACTCCTGGGGCACCTTTGTCGTCTCCAACTTCAGCCACCGTGGGGCGTCCTGGGCTGGGGTCCTCCAGGCATCGGTCCCTCCGAGCCCTTGGGGGAGCAAGCAGCCCAACCCAGCCCCCATGGAGCATGATGCATGCTGGGGTCCACTGCGGATCCCTTCGGGCCCGCAAGAAGCCAGCGACCCTGCGCCCCCTTCGCCATGCCCTCGGGCTGCCAGGGAAGGCGTACTCCAGATTTCGTAATAAAAGGGAGGGGGTCTGGACCCTCCAAGACAAGCCATTTCAGACCTCCCCCGTGGGAGAACCCTCCAAAACATCGTCCCCAGACCCCCCAGGCCCTCCAAGATGGCCTGGAAGAGACCCCCCCCCGAAATGAGACCCCCCTCCCATTATTACGAAATCCGGAGTACCAGGGAAGGCGTAGCAACCCTCTCGGGAGCGAATGTCGACGCTTGATGTCCCGCCTCGGACTCGGGCGGAAGGCAAACCGGCCAGCAGCGACGAATCCCCGACTCCAGCCATGGCGACAAGGACGTAGCCTGCCCAGAGGAGGAGGAGGAGGAGGAGGAGGAGGAGGAGGAGGAGGAGGAGGAGGAGGAGGAGGAGGAGGAGGAGGAGGAGAGGATGGGGGCGGACGGAAGGAGAAGGAAGGAGGAGGAGGAGGGAGGAGGGAAGGAGGAGGAGGAGGAGGAGGAGGAGGAGGGGGAGGAGGAGAAGGAGGAGGAGGATGAAAGGAGGAGGGGGAGGAGGAGGAGGCGGAGGAGGAGGAGAGGAGGAGGAGGAGAGGGGGCGGAGCGGGCAGGAGGATGAGGAAGGAGGAGGAGTAGGAGGAGGAGGAGGGGAGGAGGAGGAGTGGGAGGAGGAGGCAGGAGGCAGGAGGAGGAGGAGGAGGAGGAGGAGGAGGAGGAGGAGGAGCAGGACGTGCAGGAGGTGGGGCCCCATTCCTCTGCCAAGCGCTTCGCTTCCATGGCGACGAGGACGAGCCAGGCTCGGGGACGGCGAGGGCGAGGAGGCGGGCAGCACGGGCGGGGGCGGAGAGGAGGCGCGACGCAGCGACGAGGGGAGGCCAAGGGGGGCGGAGCGGAGGGGGACGAGGCCGACGAGACGGCGATACAAAACACGCACACACACACACACACACCAACACCAACACCAACACCAACACCAACACCAACACCAACACCAACACCAACACACACACACACATCCACGCGCGCGCATGCTAACACACACACACACACATCCACGCGCGCGCATGCTAACACAGACACACACACACTCGCGCGCGCACACGCACGCGCGCGCACGCACAACAGCAGCAGCAGCAGCAGCAGCAGCAGCAGCAACAGCCTCGTCGCTGCGGTCAAGGCGCATGACGAGGAGCCGCGACGAGGAGACGCAGTGGCCCCACAAGGCCACGCGGACACTTTTTTTCGAGCCGGCGCGCGGCCAGCGACGGTGGCCAGGGATGGGCCGAAGGGGGGATGCGTGACGAACGACGACGACGACGACGACGACGACGACGACGACGACGACGACGACGACGACGACGACGACGACGACGACGACGACGACGACGGACGACAACGGACGACGGACGACGGACGACGGACGACGACGTGCAACCCTGGAACATCGCTCATCCTTGCTATCCGTGTTGACTGTGCCCCCTCGAAGGCGGCGGGCAACAGCCTGCGTGAAGTAGGTGGGGATGTTCGAGATGAACAGGGTGCTCACCTGCGCTCTCCCGCTTCGGCGGGGCAAGGAGGCGAGGAGGGCGCAGGGGGGTGGGGGGGGGGCACGGAGCACGAGGAGGGGAAGAGGGGGGAGGACGAGGGAGGTGCCAGGAGGGAGGAAGAGGAGGGGCGGAGAGGAGGGGGGGGGCGAGGAGGGAGGGACGGGGAGGGGGAGCGGAGGGAAGGAGGAGGAGGGAGGACGAGGGGAGGGGAGGAGGGACGAGGACGAGGAGGGGGGGGCACGGAGGACGAGAATGGGGGAGGGGAGGGGGGAGAACGAGGAAGGACGGGGCGGGAGGGGAGGAGGGAGAACGCGCACAGGGAGGGAAGCGAGGAGGCACGAGGGAGGACGAGAGGGAGGAGCAGCGGGGGGGGGGAGGGCGAGGAGGGAGGGGGGCTAGAGGAGGAACGAGGTCGGACGGAGGAAAGGACAGGATACGAGAAAGGACAGGATAAAGGGGGTATCCAAAGAGGGGGGTTCGAAATCGTAGGTCGGTGCATGTGCGCAGGCCCTGGCGTTGAAGAGGAGGAGGCGGAGGAGGAGGAGGAGGAGGAGGGGGAGGAGGAGGACGAGGAGGAGGAGGGACGAGGAGGAGGAGGAGGAGGAGGAGGAGTGGGAGGAGGAGGAGGAGGAGGAGGAGGAGGGGGGGGGCGGGGCGGGGGGACAGGGGACGCATCGAAAGAGTCGGCGACGCGTGAGAGGGGCCCTGATCAGGCCAGAGTGGCCTCTGGTGCGCGACGTTCGGGGGACGCTGGGGGGGGGGGGGGGCGAACAGGGGCGCACAAGCTGCTGCCGGCACATCGCGCTCAGCCACGTGGGGACCCTGGCGTGCCCGCAACGAAGGCCACCCTGGCGAGGGGTCACTCCTGTGTGCTGCCGAAGGGGGGAGCAGGGGACGCACGGAAAGGAAGGGGGGTGGCTTGAAATCCAGGGAGGGAACTATCATGGCCACGGCCGTGATATCCACATCCCCCTAATCATCACCCCCTCGTAGCCGCCCCCGACTATTGGCGGCACTAGCACGGCCACGGCGCTCGTGCACCGCACCGCGCCTTGGACTGCGACGAAACTGAGACTGGGACGAACTCGGAACGGGGGAAGTCCGGGATCTCTGAGATCCAGCGGTGGAGCATGATTGGGGCGCGCGGCCATTCCAGATCGCTGCGGAACGCTATCTCAGCTTTCGAGAACGCTCTGGAACTACCTATCCTTGTCCTGGGCCCCTCTTTCTTGCGTCGCTCAAGAAGAGGAGGAGGAGGAGGAGGAGGAGGAGGCGGAACATCCTTCGGGTGCCGCGGCCATTCCAGATCGCTGCGGAACGCTCTCTCAGCTTTCGGGAACGCCCTGGAACTGTCTATCCTTGCCCTGGGCCGACACAATGGACTCCCTTCGGAACCCGCTCCGACGCGGCACGGTGCACATGACTTCCGGCCCTGATCCCTACAGTGGAGGCCCGACCACAAGAAACCTTCCACAAGAAACCCAGCCCTGAGACCCCAGGACGTCCATCGATTTTTGGTGTGGGAACGTCACGCCTTCCACAGCAAAACCATCGAAACCCAAGAAGCCCAGGGCACACTGGAGGCAAGCAGGGTGTTTCTTGGCGTGGGCCCCCACTGTAGGGGGGTAAGGTCGGGCATGTCCTCCTACAGGCGGATTTTGGACGAAAAATAAGAATTAGGCTGACGAAGGACCCAAACATGAGCAGTTGTGGATACCGCGCTGTGGGTCCATCATTCGACGGGCCTCCCTATTGGGCCACGAAGCGTGTAAAGGTGTGCCGAAATGGGCGGGGAACCGAATGGGAACCCTGACACTGGGGCCTTCGGTGAAGCTCCCTATGGGGCCACGAAATGCGTGAGGCGTGTGCTGAAACGAGTGAACGATGATGATGATGATGATGATGATGATGATGATGATGATGATGATGATGATGATGATGATGGTGATGATGATGATGACGATGACGAGTACGACGACGATGACGATGATGGATGATGGATGAGGATGATGATGCTGATGATGTTGATGATGCTGATGGTGATGGTGATGGTGATGGTGATGATGAAGATGGTGATGATTATGATGATGATGATGATGATGATGATGATGATGATGATGATGATGATGATGATGATGATGATGATGATGATGATGATGATGATGATGATGATGATGATGATGATGATGATGATGATGATGATGAAAATGATGAGAAGAGAGGGGAGGGGGCAGCGGGAGGAGGAGGAGTGACGCCGGGCGCTGTCCCCTCAAAACGAGGACCCAACACCACAGGATGATTGGGAAACAATTAAAAAAACGAAATGGTCAAAACATATGCGTAAAACACATCCCCAGACTATGTTTAACATATTTTTGAATATTCCTCCTGTAGAGGGGCACGCCCGACTTTACCCTAGGGCAAGGTTCGACGAGCCTCGGGAGACGCCAGTGCGGCACGGTGCACACGAGGTCGCCCGCGGAAGCGGGACGCTCAGCGTGGAGGGAGGGGAAGGCAAGGAAACCTACGGATAGGTCGGGCATGTCCTCCTACCGGCGGATTTTGGACGAAACAAAAATACTCTTGACAAATATTCAAAAATAGCGAAAAAAATAGAAAAATCATCCCCAGACTTTTTTTTGACAACTTTTGCATTTTCCTCCTGTAGAAAGACATGCCCGACTTGAGCCTAGGGGGGAGTGCGAAAGCCAGCGAGCCATGACGGACCCAATGAGCGATGCCCAAGGGCAGCGAGGAAGGCAAGGAGGGGTGGGAAGCGGAGGGGATCTTAATACCGCATCCACTGAATCACGGAGGTCCCACTGAGTGGAGGAATATCGGGGAGGAGGAGGCCGGCTCGACGGAAGTGGGCAGGGCCATCAACTCGATATTCTCACCGATCAGGCGGGACGGCGGCCGGTGGTCCAAAAGAGACCGGCCGAACCAAAGCGCAAGCACTGGCGCCACAACCAGGAGGGAAGCGGGACTACAAGGAGAAAGGAATAGGATAAGAGTTTCCTAGCATCCTGATCCTCCGTCCTACTCCTCCTCCTGCTCCTCCTCCTCCTCACCATCATCACCATCATCAAAATCACTCACCTCTTCATGATCATCACCGTCAGCATCATCCGCATCAGTACCAGCATCATCAGCATCATCAGCGTCACCATCATCATCACCCGCATCAGTATCAGCATCATCATCATGAGCATCATCATCAACGTCGTCATCATCAGCAGCATCCGCACCAACATCAGCACCAACATCAGCCTCAGCCTGAGCCTCAGCCTGAGGCTGATCCTCATCATCATCATCATCATCATCATCATCAGCATCATCATCATGCTTTAACGCGGCCTATAGAATGACATCCCAGAGCAATCCACTGCAGGCTTGCTACCATACTCCACTGAAACCGATGAAACAATGTCCCCAGGGAGGGTTGGGTCGGGAACAACAAAAGGCTGCAGAGCGAGGCAAAGGACGAGGCACGCTGAGCTCCTGCTACCTTCCCCCTACTCGTCTCACTGAACGGCCCTTCTGACATCATTACTGCGCACGCACTCTCATGATGCTCTAACGCGGTCAATAGAATGATATCCCAGAGCGATCCACTGCAGGCTTGCCACCATACTCCACTTAAATCGATTGAAACAGTGTCCCGTACCCCATCTGGAAGAGAGTTCCCGTCTTCAGGTAGGTTTTGGCTTCGGGTGGGTTGAGGAGGGAGAAGCCGTAGATCACGGTCTGGCTCTTGACAGAGACGAAACACCCACGACATGCTTCTGGGCCCACAGGGATCGAAACGTGCGAGCGACGGCGGAGCACAACTGCAGAGAGTAGTATTTGGCACGATCTGTCATCCAGCCTGCCATATCCTTTCCTTCGAGGTGTGAATGTGGCCTACCGGAGTGGGAACACAGGCCTGCCTTGCCAATGCACTTGTGATCCAGGAACGAGTCGTCAAAATCTGAGGGCATCAGGATGGAGGTGCGCTTCCTGAACTCGGTCCCGAACTGGCACTGGTCAAAAACGATGAGTTTCGCATGCTTTGAGTTGCGGAAGCTCTTCAAAATCGGCATGTTCAAAGCATGGAAGAGGCGGGGTTTTCGATAGTGAACGGAATGTTGTGTCGAAAGGCCTGCCGAACGAGCACGCCAGTGACTCTCGCGAGCCTATTGCCTTCCAGACACACCTTTTCTATCTTTAGCGGGGAGATCCGAGAAGCCCCAAATGCACTCAGGAGAGCGCACGGCACTGGGCAGGGGCGAGGTTCGCGGCGCCCTTCTCGCTGCACTGAAGCAGCGGCACGGCGTAGCCATGAAGATTCCTTGCACCCTGCCCACGTTCATCATTTTCAGCAGCGCTGGCATGATCCCCGGCGCAAACATGTCGGTGCCGAGCTCGAGCTCGATCTCTAGCGACGAGATGCTGCACCTTGCGACTGCCTCGCCAATCCCCTCGGCCCTGGCGAAGGTGTCAACGAAGACACCACTGCCTCCCAGCCAGGCGGTCGGGGTCCTCGGACCCTGCCGAGGAGGATGTCGCCGAGGTGCGAGCAGCAGAGCTCGCGGTACTCCTGGGCGCCCGGCGGCAGCTCCACCAGCCTGGCATTGACATCGCTTGATTTCTGGCGCATGATCAGCGAGCTGATGCTGGCCCACCGCTCACGCCTCCGCACCTCCAACTGCGGGCCCCCGTTGTCGTCGGAGGGCCCGTGGGTGAGCGACCTGCTCTGGTAGGCAGGCCCGAAGCCAACTGCGGGTGGGGAAACATCGCGCACGCGGAGCCCACGCAGCTCCACGGGCCGCAAGTAGGCGATGAGCGCGACCAGCACGGCCACGGCCACACCCGTGCGACCCATGAGATGAAAGGCCAGGGCCACAGCAAGTCCGCAGACGGTCGGATACGGCGATGGCAACCGACCCAGCGCTGGCCGCCGTCGTCTCCACGCTTTCAGGGATCTCTCGAACCTGGCCAGCGGCTGGGTGTAGGGCCT